TAAGAGCAGAAAAGGAAATAAAAGGAATCCAGATTGGAAAAGAAAACTCTCACTGTTTGCCGATGACATGATCCTCTACATAGAAAACTCTAAAGACTCTACCAGAAAATTACCAGAGCTAATCAATGAATATAGTAAAGTTGCAGGATATAAAATTAACACATAGAAATCCCTTGCATTCCTATACACTAACAATGAGAAAACAAAGAGAAATTAAGGAAACAATTCCATTCACCATTGCAACAAAAAGAATAAAATACTTGGGAATACATCTACCTAAAGAAACAAAAGACCTATATATAGAAAACTATAAAACACTGATAAAGAAATCAAAGAGGACACAAATAGATGGAGAAATATACTGTGTTCATCGATTGGAAGAATCAATATAGTGAAAATGAGTATACTACCCAAAGCAATCTATAGATTCAATGCAATCCCTATCAAGCTACCAATGGTATTTTTCAGAGGACTAGAACAAATAATTTCACAATTTGTATGGAAATACAAAAAACCTGGAATAGCCAAAGCAACCTTGAGAAAGAAGAATGGAACTGGAGGAATCAACCTGCCTGACTTCAGACTCTACTACAAAGCCAGAGTCATCAAGACAGTATAGTACTGGCACAAAGACAGAAATATAGATCAATGGAACAGAATAGAAAGCCCAGAGATAAATCCACGAACCTATGGACACCTTATCTTTGACAAAGGAGGCAAGAATATACAATGGAGAAAAGACAATCTCTTTAACAAGTGGTGCTGGGAAAACTGGTCAACCACCTGTAAAAGAATGAAACTAGAACACTTTCTAACACCATACACAAAAATAAACTGAAATGGATTACAGATCTTAACATAAGACCAGAAACTATAAAACTCCTAGAGGAAAACATAGGCAAAACACTCTCCGACATAAATCAAAGCATGATCCTCTATGACCCCCCTCCCAGTGTATTGGAAATAAAAGCAAAAATAAACAAATGGGACCTAATGAAACTTAAACGCTTTTGCACAACAAAGGAAACTATAAGCGAAGTGAAAAGACAGCCTTCAGAATGGGAGAAAATAATAGCAAATGAAGCAACTGACAAAGAATTAATATAAAAGCAACTCCTGAAGCTCAATTCCAGAAAAATAAATGACCCAATCAAAAAATGGGCCAAAGAACTAAACAGACAGTTCTCCAAAGAAATACAGATGGCTAACAAACACATGAAAAGGTGTTCAACATCACTCATTATCAGAGAAATGCAAATCAAAACCACAATGAGGTACCATCTCATGCCACTCAGAATGGCTGCTAGAGAAGGTGTGGAGAAAAGAGAACCCTCTTACACTGTTGGTGGGAATGCAAACTAGTACAGCCACTATGGAGAACAGTGTGGAGATTCCTTAAGAAACTGGAAACAGAACTGCCATATGACCCAGCAATCCCACTGTGGGGCATACACACCAAGGAAACCAGAATTGAAAGAGACACATGTACCCCAGCGTTCATAGCAGCCCTGTTTATAATAGCCAGGACATGGAAGCAACCTAGATGCCCATCAGCAGACGAATGGATAAGAAAGCTGTGGTACATATATACACAATGGAATATTACTCAGCCGTTAAAAAGAAAACATTTGAATCAGTTCTAATGAGGTGGATGAAACTAGAGCCTATTATACAGAGTGAAGTAAGCCAGAAGGCAAAACACCAATACAGTATACTAACACATATATATGGAATTTAGAAAGATAGTAACAACAACCCTATATGCGAGACAGCAAAAGAGACACAGATGTACAGAACAGTCTTTTGGACTCTATGGGAGAAGGTGAGGGTGGGAAGATGTGAGAGAATAGCATTGAAACATGTATATTATCATATATGAAACAGATCATCAGTCCAGGTTCCATGCATAAGACAGGGTGCTCAGGGCTGGTGCACTGGGATGATGCAGATGGATGGGATGGGGAGAGAGGTGGGAGGGGGGCTCAGGATGGGGAACACATGTACACCCGTGACTGATTCATGTCAATGTGTGGCAAAAACCACTACAATATTATAAAGTAATTAGCCTCCAACTAAAATAAATTAAAAAATAAACAAACCAGATGGGGAAATGTCATCCCCTGCAGCAAAAAAGAAAAAAGAAAGATGCTCTGGCATCTCACGGATAATAATTCGCAACAGGCCACTTTACCGAAGCAAGTTGCAGAGATGTATTTTCCTCACACAGCTTTCAACCTCAGTAGCTAAACACATGCTGTAACTCCCCAATTAGTAGAGAGAATCAACAGGAAACTCCAACTAGTAATCCCCTGACACCAAACAGAAGGGCCATCCTTACGCAATGTGAAAGAATCAGTCCTAGTGGGAACCTAGGAGGAAGGGAACCCTCCTAGTCTGTTGGCAGAAATGTAACTTGGTAGGCCTACTACGCAGAGCATTTTGGAGGTTGGTCGAAAATTCAGAAAGTGAGGTACCATAGTCAACTGAGAAAGATTCCTTCGAGTACAGGGCCTGCAGACAACCGAAGTCAAAAGATAACTGTACCTCCAACTCCTCTGCATCATTTACAAACAGAAAAATGATAAACAAATACCAAAGACAGATGAACTGGTAAAAAATGTGGTACAGATTTACTGAAATTATTTCCTCATCCATGGAAACAAAGGAAAAATGTCAATTGCAGCCATGTGGATGGACCCAGAGAGGATCCCATGAGCCATCTAATTCAGATACAGACCAACAAATATTTAGTGATTTCCATAATATGTGTAATCTAAATAGTGTTAGATGTGAACTTCAAAGAGAAAGAGAGTCTTAGTGAAGAAGAAAAAAAACAAAAGGAAGTGTTAGTGCAGTATAGTGAGCAGATAAATGAGAAGGTTGGGATTCACATACATAAACTCCTCTTAATAAAATAATCAAGAACCGACTGTAGTGCAGAGAGAACTCCAGTGGACACTGTGTCCTAAGCTATCCAGCTAAAGAATCTGAGAAACCACAGGTATGTATGTGCATATGTTTAGGTGACCAGTACCCAGTGTTCTGAAACTGACGCAACACTGTACACCAAGAATACTTCCAGATAAAGAGGAAAACAGGAAAACCTATAAGAGTGCTGTCTACTGTGTTGCGACGAGGCCTCTGAAACCTGGGGTAATGTCCATCCCTGGAGCCTGAGCTGGCTGGGAAACGAGGCTGGAGCGGCTGGGGCTGAGGGAGCTGGGAGGGAGGGGCCAGCAGTGATGCCCTCTTGGACCTGAGTGTCTGGTCCCTCTGGAAGGCACCAGAGTCAGCAGATATGGGTGGGACATGCAGAGCGTTAAGCCCACCGAGTTCACCCAAAGAGGTGAGTCCTCTGGAGGAAGAGGTCTGTAACGTCTGGGTCGCCACAGCTCTTGGTGGAGGGCTTCCCATCGCTAGCGTCTGTCCAGACACTCAACACCTTGGCCACCCCCTACGTATTGGGGTTCGGCAGGGGTTGGTATTTTGGGTGCTGAATGGTGAAGAGGAGGAAGAAAGAAGGAAGCCCTTTGGTGTGTATGCTGGCACATACCGGGAATATGGCTTTTCCTAAACTTCTGGAAGCTGCAGTAACCACAGTTGGTCAGGAAGAAACGTTGCTTCCTTGTTGCCATTTTCCATAACAAGTACTTTAAATCTGGGGCTTAAGGAAGGGTCATATTCGAAAGGCGTGTTGGGTTCTAAATGATACCTGCTGTCAATTAATGACTTTGGGTAGGTAATGTAATAACCATGAAAACAGGGTCCACTTTTAATACGGCAATTTCAAAAGGTACATTTTACTTACAATGCAGTGAAAAAAAAGTCACACTAAAGATGTTCAACCTAATATCAGAAATTAACTCAAGGTGTAGAAATAACAAATACAGGAAGAGTGTTCAGAGAAAATGGAACTCTTGTAAGATGCTGATAGCAGTGCAATGTGGTAACAGCCTCTACTGAGAATAGAATGTGGTTCCTCAAAATAAAAGACAGATATATTATTGGGCCATTTCAGTCTCTGGCGAATAGGCATAGAAAAGTATAATTGGAAAAGGCTCACACTTGACTACTGCCTCATCTATGCAACAGACTCCCAGAGATAAAGAATACACTTCTGGTTGCCAAGATGGATGGGGTCTACATGAGGGATGGATTGGGAATTTAGGATTAGCAGATGGAAGCTATTATACACAGAATGGATTAACAACAAGGTCCTACCACAGAACAGAGGGAACTACATTCAGTATTTTGTAATAAACCACAATGGAAAGGAACATGAAAGAAAGATGTATAACTGAATGACTCTTCCATACAGCAGAAATTAACACAACATTGTAAATCGGCTACATACCTCAATTAACAACAAAAAAGACACTATGCTAAGTGAAACAAGCCACCCACAAAAAATCAAATCTTTTATAATTCTACTTTTAGGAGGTCCCTAGAATAGTCCATTCATAGCGACAGAGAGCAAGATGAGGGTTGCTAGAAGATCAATGATGTCGATAATAGACATGCTCAAAAGTCTTCATTCAGGCTCCTCCCAAGCCTGCGGTTAGATGGAAGACTCAACTGCACCCTCTACTAGGCAAAGTAAAAACAGGGCCCTGTCTGCCAAGTCACAGAGATAGGGTGCACATGCCTTATTGTCCTTGGGCTGCAAGGATATCCAACCAGTTTATCCTAAAGGAAATCAGTCCTGAATATTCATTGGAAGGACTGATGCTGAAGTTGAAACTCCAATACTTTGGCCACCTGATGCGAAGAGCTGACTCATTTGAAAAGACCCCGATGCTGGGAAAGATTGAGGGTAGGAAGAGAAGGGGACGACAGAGGATGAGATGGTTGAATGGCATCACCAACTCAATGGACATGGGTTTGGGTGGCCTCCCGGCGTTTGTGATGGACACGGAGGCCTGGTGTGCTGTGGTTCGTGGAGTCGCAGAGAGTCGGACACGAGATTGAGCAACTGAACTGAACTGAGCGACTGAACTGACCTTATTGTCTCCGCCTGAGACCGCTAGGATATTGGCTGTGATGGACCAGCTGACATGCCATACAACATCGTTGAACTTGTGCAGCAGTTTGGGAGACCATGTATTGCCAGAGGCATCATCACAGGTCCAAATGAACACTCGACCATCCTGCGAAAAGAAGGCTAGAGTCAGGAGATGGGGGCAGCAATCCTCCTGGTGACATCTCCATCTGTATCTGTACTGGACCTTTTCAGGAGTAGGGTGAGGGAATCAGGGCGAACCACAGCCAAAGACCTCCTGGGTGTTTACAGCTTTGACAACCAATTTCTGGCCCACAGCACCCTTGCCTGTATCACTTCATCCCAGGAACACACTTCAAGTCGGTCAGGAGCCTCCAGGCCCCTTTCCACATACAGGTTTCAGGTATGGACTTTGTCAGCACTGCTATTTCTCAAATTTTTCCCTGGGGCTTTCCCATATGTGCCAAGTCACTTCTTGGTTTTGGTTCCCAGAAGCTCTGTACTTTCTCAGTGGAATGGGTATAGGTGTTTAAAAAGCCAAGCTCAGAGACTGAGAAGGGACCAAAAAAACACACAAAAATAAACACACACACAAAACAAACCAAAACAAAATGATCTTTTACGTCATTTGAACCTCTTATACTTGGTCCTCTCAACAGGCTCAGGAGGAGCCTCCAGGAGGAGGGCACGACAAAGCCACCCCAGTCTTCTTGCCTGGAGAATCCCATGGACAGAGGAGCCTGGCACATTGCAGTCCACAGGGTCACACCAGAGTAGGACACAGCTGAAGCGACTTAGCACACAGGCACACACAAGAACAGCTCAAACCATGTAAAAGGCCTAGCTTAACTTGCATCTTCAGTGAAAGTGTTGCTCACTTCAGTCCCGTCTGACTCTGCGACTCCATGGACTGTAGGCCGCCAGGCTCCTCTTTCCATGGGATTCTCCAGGTAAAAAGACTGGAGTGGGTTGCCATGCCATTTTCCAAGGCATCTTCCTGACCCAGGGATCGAACTCAGGGTCTCTCGTATCGCAGGCTGATTCTTTACCATCTGAGCCACCAGGGAAGCCCCCTCATCTTGGACGAGTGAAGTGAAAGTTGCTCAATTGTGTTTAACTTTTTGTGACCCCATAGACTGTACAGTCCATGGAATTCTCCAGGCCAGAATACTGGAGTGGGTAGCCTTTCCCTTCTCTAGGGGATCTTCCCAACCCAGGGATCAAACCCAGGTCTCCCACATTGCAGGTGGATTCTTTACCAGCTGAGCTATCAGGGAAGCCTCATCTTAGGTGCTTGCATATAATTAAAGGCTTGTCCTGGGTCTTTTCTGTCTGGGAAGCGTGAGCAGGGAGATGAGCCCAAGGTCTTAGGATTTCCCACTGATCCTGGTCCTTGCTTAGGAACACTTAAAATGATGCCCGGGTAGCTCCAATTCCTATCCATAAAAGGGTCAGTGGGGAACTAGTTTGAGTCTGGTCTTCTTCTTGGCTCAGTAGAAGATAGCCACTGTGGCTTCTGGTCAAGATCTCACTGAGAGATGAGTGGGCTCCAGAAGCTCTCTTATTTGCAGTGGTCCACAGGTGCCAGTCTCCTGCCCTTCCAAAGACTTCCCCCAAGGGACTGTAAGGGTTGATGGGACTTCTGAGAATAACTAATGTGGGATGCCTGCGTGGGTCTGAACTGACCTGAGAGCAGCTGGCAATGGTGCTGGTAGGCAGGCCGATGGAGGGGGCCCAGGCCACATCTCGAACCCAGTCACTGTGGGCTTCCAACTTCTGCTCTTCCTTCCACTGGCCGTCCTCCTCCTCCCTAGCAGGAGAGATGGGACGGAGAATTCAGCAGGCAGGCGCCACTCCCTCACCTCCCTCCCACCCCACCCCCTCCCCACCCCAAAGGCTCCACAGGAGTGGAGAAGCTACTCCATCTTTCTGATAGCATTTGTTGAGTCAAATGATAGCATTTAGGAAGAGTCAAAGCGCTGTGAAAAGGGCAAGTTTTTGAATTTTTTTTTTTTAAATAAAGGATGTCTTCTGACAGACTGAAGACAGTATTCAGTGGGCAGAAGGGGAAAAGGTGATTCTGTTTCTGGTGAACTGAGGTTGAATCATGGTAGACAGTAAACAGGGTAGAAGATTCCCCTTAAGAAGTTCCCCAACCCCGCTTACTTCCACAGTTTGATGAGGTTGTCACAGCCTCCTGATGCAAACTTCTTGATGTAGTTGGGCTTCTGCCCAGATGGCTGGTCTATGAGGCTCCCAGGCACGACAGCAGGGGCCCAGCTGACCGCATTGCAGCCAATCTGTAAGGAGAGGGACTCGTACCGACTCTGCCCCCTGTGCTGGCAACAGGACACTGCTTCTGCAGACCCAAGGTTGGCAATTATCTCCTCTCTTAGTTCTCAGGACTGGATTACGCAGGTCAGCTCTTTTAATGAACTAAGGATTAGCCACCCAGAACTCTCCTTCAAGGATTCCTACGGTACGTGTCTTTTTCAGCAACATGCATTTAAAGTAGGAAGCAGGGACTCTCAGGAAATTTAAAAAATTTAAAATTTAAAAAACAGAACATATTCCAAATATACGAAGGGAGGGCACAGATTTCAGAAAACCATGGTTTCATGAATTACTCTGAAGTACTCCTGTAATCACTCCCAGGTCAAAAAAATAAAATGACCATTTACCCAAGAAGCCCTGTCATTTATGTCCTACTTGAATCACAGCTCCTCTTCCCCATAAGTAAACATTATTCTGATTTCTATTTATTTTAGCACCTTTGTCACCCAAATGTGCACTCCAAGGCACCAGTTTAGCTGTGCCATTAAAAATATACATGTATTTCCTGACTGCAGTGTTCTCTTTTATACTGAAATACAGTTGATTTGCAAGACCTGTGTTAAGTTTCAGGTGTACAGCAGAGGGACATGTTTTTTCAGATTTTTTTCCATTTTAAGTTATCAATATTATACTGAATAGAGTGCCCTGTGCTATAGAGTACTTCCTTGTTGGTTATTATTTTTATATAGTAGTGTGTACATATTAATCACAAATTCCTAATTTATCCTCCCTCCCCCCTTTCCCTTTAGTAACCATAAGTTTGTTTTCCTTTTTCTGGTCACGCTGTGCCACAAATGGGATCTCAGTTCCCCAACCAGGGGTCAAACCCATGCCCCCTGGACTGGGAGCAGAGTCTTAACCAGTGGACCACCAGGGAAGTCCCATAAGTTTGCTTTCTATGTCTGTGAGGCTGTGTTTTACATCAATTTTTAAGAGCTCAATCAATTTTTAAGATCCCACATGTAAGAGCTATCATATGATATTTGTCTTTCTCTGACTTTCATTTTTATAATAATGTCTAGGTCCATCCAATGCAAATGGCATCATTCTGTTCTTTTTATGGCTGAGTAACACCCCACTGTATATGTATGCACCACATCACCTTTATCCATTCCTCTCCCGATGGACATTCGGGTTGTTTCCATGTCTTGGCTAATACAGTGCTGCCATGAGCAATGAGGTGTGTGTATCTTTTCAGATTAGAGTTTTCACTTTTTCTGGATATGTGCTCAGGAATGGGACATATATCCCATATGTGTATCCCCCATATGGTAGCTCTATTTTTAGTTTTTAAAGGAATCTTCACATTGTTTTCCATACTGGCTGCATCAATTTGCATTCCCACCAACAGTGTAGGATTTTCTTTCCTTTTGTCCACATCCTCCCTAGCATTTATTTTTTTGTAGACTTTTTAATGATGTTTATTCAGTTGTGACCAACCTAGACAGCATGTTAAAAAGCAGAGACATTTACTTTGTCAACAAAGGTCCGTCTAGTCAAGGCTATGGTTTTTCCAGTGGTCATGTATGAATGGATGTGAGAGTTGGATTATAAAGAAAGCTGAGCGCAGAAGAATTGATGCTTTTGAACTGTGGTGTTAAAGACTCTTGAGAGTCCCTTGGACTGCAAGGAAATCCAACCAGTCCATCCTCAAGGAAATGAGTCCTGGGTGTTCATTGGAAGGACTGATTTTGAAGCCGAAACTCCAGTATTTTGGCCACCTGATGCAAAGAGCTGACTCATTTGAAAAGACCCTGCTGTTGGGAAAGACTGAAGGCAGGAGGAGAAGGGACGACAGAGGATGAGATGGTTAGATGGCATCACTGACTCAATGGACATGAGTTTCGGTAAACTCCGGGAGTTGGTGATGGACAGGGAGGCCTGGTGTGCTACCGTTAATGCGGTTGCAGAGTCGGACACGACTGAGCGACTGATTCTGACCAGTGTGAGTAAAAACATTTTTTTTGCTGTTTCTTGCACCTCTCATTTATAGATTCCCCCCCTGTGATCTTACTGATCAGATTTGGGTTCGTTCCTTTTGCCAAGAGGAAAATACGCCATACAGGGGATGGTGTGTTCCTTCAGCAGGAGGCATATGATCTCAGACTGTCTCTCTTTATATGCTATTACCATGTCAACAATTTAGGCCTCTTTTAATTCACTGGGCATTACAAAATGGTGATATTGTCATTCTATTACTTTGTCATTTATTACAGGGAATACTCTACAGAGGGGCAATTTCATTCATTAATATTTGCTTTACCACAGGGGTACAGATCAGGTAGGAAAGGCAGGATAAACACTTAACCCCTTCTGAACCAGTTTCTTGTCTTTCTTCAAAGATGACTGATTCTTCTTTATTAAATAAATATCAGGATGAAGGCATGGATATAAGTGTATTTGATGGGTTTCAGTTCATTGCAATCATTCCAACTTTTTACACTCAAACTGCCCATCTTTGGCACTGTGAGCCTGTTCAAGGTGGCTCCTTTGATATAACCTTAGTATGTCTGTCACTGATTTCTTTTCTGTCTGGTATAATAAGATGTTTGTTCCTTTCCTGCCTCAAAACCTGGGATCATCCATTTCCCAAAGAGCTCTGGATTTTTTTCAGTGAGAAACTATTTCAAGTGTACTTCTGGTGCTAAGGATATTCACTGATAGATGATTATTCATTTTATTTCATTTAACACACAGCAGAACAGTCTCAGAATAATAATACCATCAATATGATAACTAGTAGTATTTATATCAGTCCATGGGGTTGCAAAGAGTCAGACATGACTCAGCAACTTAACAACTCCATTCTCCCATAGTTTTTTTTTTTTGGGGGGGGGGGCGGTGTTTTTGTATGTATGGTACCAACATTAAGAAGTCTAGATCTCCAGCTGCTTGTGCTGCACACCATTTTTAATAGTTATACTCTATCTATCTTAGCTGATCACATGACCAGGACTCATTCAGTCTTAAGTTCTTTACAACTAACTATATATTTATATGGATGTCTTTTTTTCTAGCCATTTTTGTGGTCTAAAACTTATTCTCTAGTAGATACCTCAGGAAGGGCTCAGGGAAACAACAGTCCTTGAGTTTTTGCATACTGGTAACAGTCTGCATTCTTTACACTCCAAATTGTAAAGACAGCTTTGAGATCTAACTGATGTTAACAGCACATAAACTGCACAAGCTGATTAACTTTGACATCAGCATATCCTGTAAAGCCATCACTACAATCAAGGTATCAAATGAATCTCAAAGTGCTGAAAGAAAAAAACCCTTCCAACCAAGAATACTCTACCTTGCAAAGTTACTGTTCAGAATTAAAGGAAAGACGGTTTTCCACACAAGCAAAAGTGAAAGGATTTCATCATCACTAAATCGGCCTTACAAGAAATGTTAACGGGAGTTTAATTTTAAACTGAAAAGAAAGGGGGCTAATTAGTAACAAGAAAACATATAAAAGTATAAATCTTCCATGTTTTATGCTCATAATATAAATATATATTAAAGGTAGTGGATTAATTGCTTATGATGCTATTATGAAGGTTAAAAAAGTAATAAAAATCTGTGACTACAGTAATTAGTTAAAAGGATACACAAAAAGATGTAAAATGTTACATCAAACAAAAAGTGGGTGGGGGAGGGTAAAAATAGAGAGCTTTAGAACGGGTACAAATTTATCAACTTAAAATAGACTGTTACTAATATGAGCTGTTATATGTAAACTTCATAGTAATGACAAAGCAAAAATCTATATAGTAGATACACAAAAGATAATGATAAAGTAATCTGAACATGAAAGTGACAGTGTTAATTATTCAGTTGTGTCCGACTCTCTGTGACTCCATGGACCGTAGCCCACCAGGCTCCTCTGTTCATGGAATTCTCCAGGCAAGAAAACTGGAGTGGGTAGCCATTCCCTTCTCCAGGGGATCTTCCTGACCCAGGGATCAAACCTGGGTCTCCTCATTGTGGGTGGATTCTTTACCGTCCAAGTCACCATGGAAGCCCAAGGATAAAGGTCATCAAACTACAGAGTGAGAGAGCTAAGGAGGTATAAAAGCCACAGAAACCAGTGACGCAGCGTGAAGTACATACCTATCAATAGTCACTTCACATGTAAGTGAACTAAATTTTCCCATTAAGACATGGAAGGATGGCTGGCAGGAGAAAAAAACAAGGTCACCCGTATGCTACCTGCAAGAGACCCACTCCAGACTTAGGACGCACAAAGGCTGAGAAGGAAGGGAAAAAGGTGCTCCACGCAGGTGGGAGGCAAAAGCGCCGGGGCAGTGCCACCTGTATCAGGCGAGACAGACTTTAATACAGAGGCTGCACTAAAGGACAAAGAAGGGCATTAGATAATGACAAGGGAGTCAGTCAAAAAGACGACGTAACATTTGTAAACATTACGCACTCAACATAGGAGGACCAAAATATATAAAGCAAGCATTAACAGATTTGAAGGGAGATATAGGCAGCAATACAGTAACAGTAGGGTTATGTCGATGGCTAGATCATCCAGACAGAAAATGGCCTTACGGGACACATTAGACCAGAGGAACTTTACAGAGATATAGAGAATGTTCCACCCAAAGCAGCAGAATACAGGCATGTCTCACTTTATTGCTTGTTTCATCGTGCTTAATACTTAAGTCGAGTTCTTCACAAACTGAAGGTTGTGGCAACCCCATGTAGAGCAATTCAACTGGCGCCATTTTTCCAACAGCATTTACCCACTTCTCATCTATGTGTCACACACTTTGGTAATTCTTGCAGTATTTCAAACTTTTTCATTATTACATTGGTCTTGGTGATCTGTGCTGAGTGATCTTTGATGTTACTAGTGCTGATGTTATTTATGACTTGCTAAAGGCTCATATGATGGTTAGTTTTTTTTAGCAATGAAGTATTTTTTAAAGTATGTACACTATTTTAGACATAATGTTATTATTGCATACTTAGT